GTTTGTTAAAGTAGTTAAAGCTTAAACAAATAGATTACTATCACTTATTCTATATATCTTCCTTTAATTCAAGGGGATTTTCGTGGCTATTAGACAGCGCGCATTAAATTGCTGCAACATGTGGCCGGGCAGTAAAAGTGTTATATAAATTGCGCACTGCAGTGCTCTCGGGCCTCAATGTACATTTTAGGGTAGTGTCGGTAGGTGCCTACGATCGTAATATGAGAGCGTAAAAACCACCGCACTGTTGTTTTGAAGCATGATGTATCAGCGTTGAAATATAGTTTAGAATAACCTTTTGTCTAAGCGCCTTAGGCTTAAAAAAAAACTATAATTCCACAATCGTAGAAGAATAGTTTAAAAATTATATTTACACTAGCGAATCGCTCCGCTCGGGTTTGTTCCTAGTTATGTTTTAACGCTTAATACAGATTTCTCAGAGATGAGATATTTTCCCGCAATAAAAAGTTTCTTATACGTTGACCCGGACCAGCTTTAATCATACCAAATTTTATCATAATCTGTCCAGTGGTTTTCTCAACACAGATAAAAACTCTACATTCGGCCTCTGTATCGATAATAATGATTCTGGTATTTCAATAAGATATTTCAAAAAAATATTTAATGTACAGATTCGACTCACAATTTTATTATATGTATAGATGATATATTTAGTCGTTATGGCCTTTTCATATATTATTTTAAGACATTCTTTAACGTTTGTAGAATGAAATAATGTCTAACCCTCATATATTTTTATTTTTCTAGATAAAATTAGGCTTAAATTATGAACATCTTGTAAAAGAAAAAACTTATACTGTAACAAATTATTACTTTTTAAATATTTATGAATCTTACAAGTGTGTATACAATGTTTAGATAAAAGAAGCTTATTAAAATATATGTGTAGGTACTTAAATTTTGTATTAACTTTTAAAACAGGAATCTATCAATTAGAAGTAAATAACTTTATGTTATAAGTATTATTTAAAGCCAAAAAATATTATTAATATTTATTCTCTTACAAAGCATTTCAATATCGATATTACTTATTAAAATAGAAATCATATAGGTGCTTATTCGAAAACAAATTACAACAATCGGACCTTAAAGTTCGCGGAATCCAGATGGTAGTTCCGAAACGAGTTTCAGTAAGTATATTACATACATAACACGTTTGTATGCAAATTTTATTCCCAAAATCCAGCTTGATGGAAAACGGTCCCTCGTAGTATTATCAGGACAACCCAAAGGAAGTTTTGGGTCGAGAAGATAACATACAAGCATTTGAGGTACATATATCGATTAACTTATCGTAATATGAACTGTATTTAAATATCGATTTGATATTTAAATCGAATACTCGAAACGTTTTACGATTTTCTGCGTTTTATCTATCTTGAACAGGGATTTAGATCAAATGGAAAACAATCAGTTTGAGTGGACGATAAGAACGGAAATCCGATCGTTTACATAAAACGCTTAGTAGAGCTTCAAAACTGTTATCTTACTAGAATGCAATGTAAAATATATTTTTTACATTAGCGAAGGAAAACTTTTCTGTTTTAAAGAGTAAATTTGATTTAATAAAATATTATTTTTATACCTTGATGATATAACTTCTTTATCTATATACTAGGGATTTGACCACGGTTTGCTCGGGTGTGTCCTCAAGTACTTTACAGTAGCAAGCAATTCCTATAAGTAAAAGAATTTTTAAAATTGAATCAGTATTTTCAGAGATTACCAAACCTACGTCAAAACGTAAAAATTTTATTTAATATATATACCACGTAACTTTACCTTTATAGGAAAGTGATTTTCCTTATAGGGTTTATGCATGGTTCAAATATCACAAATAAATTTGATTAAAATCGGACAGGGCACCGTCTGTCGGGTAAACTAGGTTTTTTATATATTTTGTGTCAAATATTAGCGACTCATCCTCGCTTTGCTCGGGTTCGTCCCTTCTTTACATTGGCATAACTTTTTTATTTATGAACCGATTGAAATAACCCCCAATAGCAGTTTTTCTCAAATATCTTCCATGTACAGACAGCGATCAGTTATAGTTTTATTATATTCAAATATAGAACTAAACTAGTTTTTTTCATAAAAAATATATTATTTGATACTGAAACAGCCAATGTTTACTTGAATTTTACATACTCCTTTAGCATAATAATTAAATTAATTGTTATAAAGTAAATAGTTGTTACAAAACCCAATATGGCTCTTAATACAAATAAACACTAATTATATATTGTATTGCTTTATTTACTCAGTTGCAGCGTATTGATAAATACTACGCCCGATAGAGGCTCATATTTTGTGTTTATAAAATAATACATGGCATTCATTAGCAGTAAAACCTACTTTTAATTCAATAAAACTTAAAATATATATATGTATATCGATTTACTACACTAATTTATAAAGAGGTAAAGTATGTCCGTATGTACGCGATAATCTCTGAAACTACTTATCCGATTCTAAAAATTATAAAAAAAATGCTATAGGCTATTTCTTATTCCGATACAATGTGTCTACCTACTGTTAGAAATCATAATAATTTTGATTGAAGTCTGAATAAAATGGCCGTTTAGTTATTTTATCGACTGTTAATTGTTAGTCACAGGGACGCACTCGAGCAAAGCTATTTTATTATATAGTTCAAAATCACTTTCATAGTAAAGAAATGATGACGTGATATTTTTCTTGCAAAGACAACGAGACTGAGCTATTCTGAGGTATAATCTATTTATTACATAAAATCGCGTTACTAACCCAAAAAAAAATCATATATCCGAATTCAGTACGCGTTTTAAAATCGGTCAATGGACGTAGTATAAATTGGTGAAACAGTGAAGTAAGTTAATGCAGCAAGTTTAGTGACAAATTACCGAGCTGCACAGATTAGTCTGTCTCCCGTGTGCTATTAATCAACGGTTTAGAACTAACACCTCAGGCTCCTGCCTACTACGTGTAATATATTTTGGCACACATGCAAACAAGATAAACTAACTGCAATAGATTTCATGCAGGTATTGTTATTTTTTTAGTAAATTATCTATACATATTATAATAAAACTGTAACTAAGTCGAATCTGTACATTAAATATTTTATTGAAAATCTTATTGAAATAGACATTATTATCGATACAACGGCCGAATCTACAGTTTTTAGAATTTTTGTCTGTCTGTCTGTTACCTCATCACAGAAAAACAACTGGATGGTTTTTTGATGAAATTTGGTATGATGGTAGCTCATTATCTGGGTCAACATATAGGATACTTTTTACCACGGGACAATATCCAATTTTTGAGAAAAAATACAAAAACTACAATGTAAGAGTATACTAATATGTAAAACTTAAGAATTTGGTATTTGGTCATCTGAACGCGGGTGGAGCCGCAGGCAATGCTAGTAATAAATATGTATGTTGTTTAGATTTAGAGACATGCAGTGGTAACCCGATTTAACCGGGTTCATATCCCGGGTCTGATACTTTCATGTGCATACGATGTTTTTGTTAAAATCATTTGAAATTCACCCACGTAGTAATAGAAACAATGAGAAAGGTGAAAAGACAAGAACTGCTAAATTGTTGTTTTTTTAAACGTTACAAATCCATGACAAATAAGAAAGAACCTCGTTACCTCTTAGGGTTCCGTAACCGAAAGGTGCCATCGCAGCCCTATTACTATGCCTCCGCTGTCCGTCCGTCCGCAATAAATAGAGAGTTGTTTTTTTTTTACAGAATATGTATTTCTATTGCCGCTATAACAACAAATAATAAAAATAATAATACAAGAAACATTTTTTTAACATCATCGAATTATCACCAATCGAATCGAATTATCAATCATGATAATCGAATTTAATATACCTACTACATAGTACATACATAGAGTAAAAGTGATATTAATAAAAAGTACATTTACGATGGTAAGGAACCCTTCGTGTGCGAATTCGACTCGCTCCTGACCGTTTTTATAATTGTATTCTTCACAAGGTAACCGTACGTAGGCTGTCGATATATTGTTGAATGTCGATTTAAATTGTAAGAAATTCTGTAAAATCTAATCGGCTACGGTCATGTTTATCTTATAAAATACATGCATGATATATGTTATTTTATGTATAAATGAATATTAAAGTTTATATCTATAAAAATCATGTTGAGAAGTATCAGTGAACCGTCTTTGGGAACTGTTGGAACAGGGTGAGTTATTATAGTGCCATTCATTATATATAATTAGAGGTGTAATACATACTTAAAAATGTATATTTGAATATGCTTAAAATTAGAATATTTCAATAAAAAAAGTAATTAATAAAAGTAAATACCTAACAAATGTAACGCTACGTGTTTAATGTTAATATTTCAATCTGTATAAGAAACCAACTCCATTACACCCATGCTCTTTTATTACTCTGCGGATCTCTTTCTTGATAAATAAATAATAGTCGATGCCACATTCCCGCAAATCGTTTAACCATTAACAAAAATCTTGTTAAAATCGATTTAGTTGTTCTTTTCTCACGAATGTATACCAAAATTCCGCGGCGTTAATTTTGTTTACTGGTTTAAAAGTCATGTCCTTCACCTAAAGAAATCTTGAGAAACTCCTAATAAAATTAGTTCATCAGGCGGTTTACAGTTTGTTCGGCTTCGTTATATAATTATGTGAGTTCAATAAAAATCTACACACAGATAATTCAATTTTGTTTATAAATATATATTAAAATTTTCTTTTAAAACCAGATATAAAACGTACAGAGATTACTTTTTATCTAGATTTATTTTATTATTTCAAAAGCGTCAAACTACAATACCATACGAATATTAAAGCTTTAAATAAATTTTAGCACGATAGCCACAGCTGCGACTGGGCGATCCAGCCTTATAAATATCACGGTCAAAAAAAACAATCAGAATTTAAGGGGGAGATGTTTGTGGGAGGGGAGGTTTGGTGTTGTCCTTAAGCGCCTAGTAATGGCCCCTTGGAATATCTGGTGGCAGGTGCTTTTGCTTGCTTTACATAATTAGATTGTTATAAATACTTTAGATTTTAAAGTAAAAACTTATGATTTTTTATTTAATGTTGAAAATGATTTGTAGATAACGATGATTTTTTTCATTTATGATAAATTTTTATACTTATGATTTATATATGCAATAAAAAAAAACTGTGTACATTTCCATATTATCTTTAGATGTACGAAAATTCTACTTTTATAAAGTCATATTAACTTAGGCTGAATGGCTTTTTTCTTTATCTATTTATCGTAAAAAATTTTTTTTTTCTTCGGCGGGAAAATGTGACAAACATAGTAAGTAATTTTAGTGAATTTATTAAGAATATTTTTAGATTAAATGTAGCAATAGTGCAATAACAATAATTTTCTATTCACAGTCATCAATTTTATTAGTGATCATCTACAAATACGTGGTACAACTTCTTCTTGCTTACTATTTGGGTCAATCTTATATTTTTTTGGATTTCACCATGTACCTTGGCGAACTACTGTTCTTTTTAGACGTTTTTGTTCATTTGCTACACGCATTTTGGCCAATTTTGAGACTATATGTTCGTGTTTACAAACGGAGTTATTATTTATTGGGATATGATGTGATTAGTTTGTTGCCTTTAATTTTTATAGGTAAGTAGGTAGGTAGTAAGGTATATTTAGATAATTTTATTAAGAGTTTAAATATATATGAATCCAGTAAATACTTGTTTTAGCCAAGTTCTATGACAATGGTGGAGAATTAATGTTGATTGGGAGATGGCTGACTATTGGACGTGTATATAGGTTATTTGGATATTTTCTTGAAGTCAATGAAAAGGTAAAAATATAATTATCTAATATTATTAATAATATTGTGTGTAACACTAAATTACAAAATGATAATACCAAATATAAAATATTACTATTTTTAGCAATTATCAATATTTATTTATCGTTCTATTACTTTTCTTTGGCTTTTTCCTCTAACTGCTGGACCGATTTTCGACAAAATAAATAAAATATTAACTCGAGATATGCAACTTGTTTTTTTTCTGGAAAATGATATTTCCTTAATTTAGAATTTATTTCTGCTATAAAAATAAAATAGTAAGCATTGTGCCAAAGTTGAAAAAAGATTTCGCACAAAACCGAAATGGACAGCGAATTAAACGAAATATTAATTAAACGAAAAAAGTGTGATTAAATAAAATATTTTTCAGTTACAAAACTCCCGTAAAAGACTATATGTTGCAGAACATTTATTAGTAGTAGTTTTGTTTTTGCATATGGCAACTTGCCTTTGGTATTCCTTACATCACTCCATGGATTCCATAGACAACGAGTGGCACTCCTCCGGCTTTCGTGCTATGAATAAAAAAATAATATTTGACAAGTAATATTTTAATTGCGTGTGTTATTATATAGTTTTTAGAATTAAAATAAATACATTTCATTTTTCATTTGAATATACTATATTTTCATTGATACAAATTTGTAACATGTATCCCGTTTGAGTTATATACACAAGCTGCAATCGTTTTTATTGTAAATTATGATATGAAAATATAACTAGCATTTTCATTTCTTCCAAATTATAACGTAAAAGGCGAGTTTATCCTATTTAATGAAATTTATGGATTTTGGACGATATGCGATGTCTAAAATATTTGTCGGCCTGAGTATATTCACAGCTATCAATTAAATATAGCAGCTATAAATAAAAAAAAATACTTAGACTTATTTCGGAAATAATTTAATATGCTGTTTAATAAATTTTATAACACTAACCTAACCTTTACCCGCACTTACTATATAACGCTTGTCAATGACTTGATTAGATATCTTTTACATTCATGCCAACTCTACTTGCTAACTACCTCGCTACGGTCGGGCGCTAATTCATGCCGTGCAATAATAAACTACTTAAGTCACACGTGTCGTAATGTACCAACTTATATTTTTTATTTAAATGAATAAGGATCCTGTTAATCCCTCCACGACTGCGGACACGCCGGCGTGTCAGTTAACATTAGATTTCTTAGAATTTTAATTAATTTCTTAGAAATTTACCTGGAGGTGTTAACAGATGGCCCTAGATCCACACAATCGTACACCACACAATCACACCATTTAAACAGTTTTTCATCTTATTTTAGTAAATTATAACATTATTAATTAGTGGTATTAAAATTATACTTATTATTTCAGTTATTTGGCATGTTGGTATTACAGCGCTTGTCGTTTCTTTAACTGCATCTTTGGAGATAGTTTTCCACTTGTAAATATAAGTTTTATTTATTTAATATAACCTAATTATATTATAAAAAGATAAAATAAACCATGATTTAATCTCACAATAGTATCAATCTTGGAATCTGCTGGTTAAATATAGTACTTGAAAGTTTTGACTTTATTAGATACGAGCGACTTTCCCTCGCTTCGCTCGGTGCGTCCCAAAGTGTCTTTTTGCCATACATACATTTTATTATTATTTTTTATATCATTTAGACGGCACGGCAATAAAGCAACTCAAAGGCCAGGTTTTTTCGACTTCAATTAAAATTATTATGATTTCTGACATAGATGAAAAAATAGCCTCCAGCACTCGACGGTAATGTAAAATAAAATAAAAATAAAATATGCTGAGATATTAACAAACACCACCATCTAGTTCCGTGTTAAGCTACGAGGTTTGTGTTATGGATACCTGATCATTGATACACTACACATATATAACTTTATATACATACAAATATAAACGCCCATGACTGGAATACGAACATTCGTCACACAAATGAATGCACCCAGTGGGACTCGAACCCGCGACTGCTGGGACAGCAAGTAGGGTCACTACAAACTGGGCCAAACGTTTCGTATTATAATTATACAAATAATTACTAATAACTTACATATAGATAAAAAAAAAACAATATATAGAAAAGCAATGAGAATATATTATACGGCGTAGAGACGCTACGACGCTAGAAATCCTTGAAACTTTTTCTAAGTACTTAAGAAAATGCTAATATAAATAATTTTAGAAAAGCATGAATAATAACTTGAAAATATAAATATAATTATCTTCCTTAGATTTTTAATTTGTTTAACAATCAATGAATAAAACTTTTTCAGTATCCTAGTGAGAAATGGCTGACATCTTTCTTTATGATATTTGGATATGTTTGTATGCGATACCGTTTCATCGGAGGTCTCACTTGGGAACTAGTCTTGGAAAATAATAGATGGTCTACCTTCGTAGAGCAGGTAAGCATGAAGTGGCTACACACTATAACACACTATATCCTTTCATTAGTTTTATGGTAGACATTTTAAGATTAGATATAACCATTTATAATAATTTTTCATAATTTTTAATAATGATAGATACTTATTTAGACTCATTATAATAGGTGGAGGTTTAAGAGTAAACTTATAAAGTTTTCATTTAATTCTAGTTCTATTTTATAAGCGGGTAATAAAATATTTTATAAATAATTACCTATAAAATATTACAATTTAAATTATGTTAAGCCAACAGCAAAAAGGTTTTCACTTTACAAACTTTACTAATTAGTCATGTTTTTCGAATATATTCTTTTAATATGATTCGATTTTGTATAATATTAAATAATAAATAACAATACTAAAGTAATTTTAATACAAAATTCTACCTCTTAAAGTACCTTGTTTCTCGATTACAGAATATATATTTTTGCTTACCCGAAATACTCGTAAAAGCTATCTAAAGATTTCCATATCTCAATATTTTTTTCGTATAATTTCAATTCATTATCCTGTGAAAAGCTTTTTATTCCAGGATAAAAGTAGCTTTTACAGGGTCTTTTACTATCGTTAAAACCGAATCTATATAGTTTTAAAATCCTGTAAAATTTTAGCCAGTAATTTAGATAAAATTTAAACAAAAGTTTAAGCTTAGTTAAGTTAATAAATACATTTTTAATAAAATGCAGTTTTTTCAAAATCGTATTTGTAAATTTTATTTAGATTATTAGAACCTCTAGCTAAATTGTCTCAGTTGTAGTTCTTATTTTTATTCAATGAAATGTGTATTTTTTTATTAGTTTAGGTAGCAATCGAACAGCACAGACCGTTTTTTGTTTATTTGTCCGTGCCTTTTTATGACTTTCAGTTTTGTTTATTGTGATATTTTTTGTTTGATATATTTAGGTAATAATCTAAAGCGTTCAAATTTCTGTTTTAGTTTTGTGCATTTGTGTTGTAAGTTATGTAATTTTTTGTGTAATTATATATATGTAGATTAACTGCCTCAGTGGTGTAGTGGCTAGCATGTACGGCTGCACACCCGGAAGTCCTGGGTTCGAGTCCCGGGTCAGGCCAAGTTTAGTTATTGCTTCTTTCTGTATAGTAAGTCTCAGTAACAGTCCGGAGTTGGGAAGTTGGTGGTGTTTCACCCTCGTGCCTCGGAGAGCACGTAAAGCCGTCGGTCCTGCGCCTTAACTCTCACCGGTCGTGTCGAGCAGTCGTCCCACCGGAGTATGAGAGTGACAGGAATAGAGAGTGCACGTTGTGTCTGCGCGTACACTTGTGCACTATAATATCTCCTGCGCAGTTGGCTAATCTCAATGAGATTGGCCGCCGTGGCCGGAATCGGCTAGGAGAACATCATCATCATCATGTAGATTAGGCTAGATGAACCCTCATGGCTACTGTTTGAAGCTTTAAGCTTTTACAATTAAGAAAATACATTGAAATTACAAAAATACTTAATTATATATATACAAAAAAGTATACACTTAATTATTACTGTACAAGTCATGTCCGCGGGAAATTATGGCAAAAATACTAGCCACATTACCCCGTTGAATGGCAATGCCGATTTTTGGTCGAAAAATGAGCAAGCACTCTTGTCACCTGTAGAGGCGATAAGACGATGTGCTATGTCCTTTAATTAATTATATATGAAAAATATTCATTTGAGAAGGAATAGTTGTCTTAAGAAATGTTGTTTATGCAAGTAGTAATTTCTTATAGTATGCTCAATATGAAGTAAACGTGTTTACTTGAACTTTTCTCTTTAACAGTACCATCATATGATAAACTTTCTTAAATTCCGCGGAGCACCGCCATTGTTGGTAAAACAAGCGATGCTTTACAAACAAAACTTGTGGAAAATGAAAGATGGAATTCTAACCACTTCCCATTTACAAAAGCTACCTTTGCCTTTGCAAATGGAACTTATTTTTGATATAAACGTTGAACATTTCCATGATTCTCTATTATTGAGAGACACTGGTAAGTTTTTATTATAGCATTTTTGATTTAAATGTTTTTCATATTTACGTCTAAGACCATATTTTATTATTTTGACGTTGATTTACTTTCTCCATTTTGCAAAATATCCCAGACAGTTTTTTTTATTTCAAACTATTATTGCTTCGTTAAATAAAGCCACTTCGAACAAAAACAGCCTTAACACAGTAATTCATGATAAATTTCCATTTAAATTGCTACGTGAGTTATATCGGAAACATTAACTAGAATACATTGGTTCTAATGCATTATTATTTATCATTTTAAAATATTATATTTATTCAGTATACATAACTGTTAAAACTTTATCGTTTTACGGCCTCGGTAGTCTAGTGCATAGCAGGTACGACTACAGATCCAGAGGTTCTTGGTTCGAAGCTCGGGCCAAGTTCTGTTTGAAATTCTTTGTAACATCCCGGAGTTGGAAAGTTGGCTGTTTCATCCCTGTGTTTCGGATAGCAGATAAATCCGTCGGTTTTACCTTTGATCTCACACAGGTCGTGTCGAATTATTGTCCCACCGAAGTTTGAAAGTGAGAGAAATAAAGAGTGCACTTGCATTTGCGCACATCTGTACTTGTGTGCATGTGCACTATAATATTTGCTGCCATAAACTCATTGAGATTGGCCACTGTACCCGAAATAGATCAGGAAAATATTATTATTAAAATTTCAAACAACCGTGAAGCGCAGTGATATAATTGGCTTGCTTATACTAAATGCTACTTCGAATATAACAGATCCCATGTCAAAAGGGTTATCTATACATATAATAAAATTCTAAGTCAAATGTGTACATTAAATATTTTTTGGAAAATCTTATTGAAATAGACATTAATATCAATACAGAGGCCGAATCTATAGTTTTTAGAATTTTTGTCTGTCTGTCTGTTACCGCATCACGGAAAAACCACTGGAGGGATTTTGATGAAATTTGGTATGATGGTAGCTGGTTATCCGGGTCAATATATAGGATACTTTTTATCACGGGAAAATATTTGGTTTTTGGTCATCTGAACGCGGGCGGAGCCGCGGGTAATATTAGTTACTTGTATAAGTTGTGTGACATTAGTTATTGCTTTCTCTGCGTAGGTACTTCGTTAAAGTCATAAGCCACTTTTGTTTTGTTCTGTTTTCAGGCTTTTCAAAAGCTCATATACTTAATTAAAGTTTTTCAGTTATCCCTTGAAACTATTCTATGACTTTTAGATATCTCCATGCAACGCTATGTACTTGCCAATTTCATAATTCGTTGACGCATTCAATAAACAATTAGAGTTGGGTAGGGAGCTAACAAAGTTCAAATTTTTACTATTTTACGTATATGCGATTAATTTTATGCATTTTATATGCAAAAGTATTACTTTAGTATTGCAATTGGCTACATACCTTTGAAAATGAATTGGTTTTTTTCCATTCAAATCCTTTTATGCATTCATCTCGTTAAGTATGCAACATAAATATTTTCTATGGAAGGTAATTTATGAGATCGAATAGCATAAATACTGAAAAGTCCACAGCTTTTATGATGGTTTTATTTATTCATTCAGGGTGATTACGGCTATAGTATCAATGTTCTGACTATTTTATGGTGTATATATGGAAACCATCAGACCACTGCCGTTTGGGGAGATACATATACTTTTTTTTTTTAATGTTGGGCAATGCATTTACACATACCACCAATACACATACAGGTGGTTACATAAGACTCACCGGCTAAATAAACCAGTACTACTACTAAAGTACTACCCACTAAAACCCAACAAAACCTCCCTCCCTCTTAATGGGGCGTCGCATGATCGCTTACGCATTCAAGCCCGATATCCCGACGTCTTAAGTTATATAGATATTATCATCTTAAAAATACGATATAAAATAAAAGTACTCTGAGCGAAGCTCGCCCAGGTAGGTACTCAGAATAAAATGGTCAATCTTCCACAGAAATTCTTAGATTTGATGATATTTGCGTCAAACTTGCATCGAAACCATAATAATAATGTTAGTACTTCCAACTCTGGTCATAGATTCCATGATGTTATAATAAGCTCTAATTTATTTCTTATTCAGAAGAATCATTTATGCGTCACATATCACTATATATGAGACATGAGCTTTACTTAACTGGCCAGCACATATGGAACCAAGATGTAGTTAAAAGTGGAATGATATGTATTAAGCGAGGTGTTGTAGAAATGTTATCAGACGAAGATGATGAGAGTCCTATGATTGCCTTTAAAGAAGGAACTGTTAGTTACATCTCATATTAAGTATAAATTACATTGATAGAAATCAATTAGAGGGTGAAATTAATTATTTTATTATACAAAATTCTACCACTACAATATAAGTACAAGCTATTTTCTCTAAAAACACAACCTCTTAAACTGTCGTATAAAAAAATCGTGTATGTGTATTTTTGTACACACGTAAGAAGTTATACTTCTTTGGCGTAACAGAACAAAAATAGCTAAAGATTTTATCCCGTGTGTCACAACTCTCTGTTTGTAAAAGGCTAACTTCATCATGTCGCTTTTTGGCTGTCGGTGCTGTGCGCGCGCATTTTAAAAATTTTACTCTTATATTTTTTTCCAAACGTGCCAAATGAAGCATAACTTCAAAGAAATTAAAGTACTATATGGAAAGGAAACTTTTAGTTTTATTGTACAATTTAAAGTTTAAGAGTACACAGCTAAAAGGTTTTTTAAGAATAAGTAGTTCCCATACTTATTCATAACTTTTCTGCTATACTCCACTTATGTTCATCCGCCCTCGTTACTTGAAACTTGTAAGTGAAGTTTGGAGTTTGGGGTTAATTTAAATAAGTAAACTAGGGTTAATATAAAAGGCTTTTTATATAGTTTTGACGACACGTTTGGCTCAGTTTGTAGTGACCTTACTTTCTTTGCCAGCGGTCGCGGGTTCGAGTCCAGCTGGAGGCATTCATTTGTGTGATGAGCACGAATGTTTGTACTTCAGTCATGGGTGTTTATATTTTAATATGTATATATTTAAAGTTATATAAGTGTAGTGTATCAACTATCTGGTATCCATAACACGAGCCTCGTAGCTTACCATGGTACTAGATAGTGCTGTGTGTTAATGTCCCGACATATTATTATTACCAAAATATTTATATTTAAGAACTAATTCTAACAATTACAATTTCAGGTTTTGGGAGAAATAAGTTTATTTTATTCTATACCATCAAAAGTTACGGTTAAAGCAGCTACTTACGTAGAACTTCAGGTTACAACACTATGTAACAAATTAAACTCATCTTTTAATTTATTAATATTATTTTATGACTGTAAAAGCTTAAACTAAAATTGTTATATTTGTTGGACTTTGTCATGAATTGCTTCTATTAGAATCAAAATCCACTTTATCCAAAGTTATGTGTAGCTTAAATTTTGCTTTAATAATTTTATTAAATACTATAAAATAATAGACAGATTACATAAATATATTGTTAATTAAAAACTTGGCAGTCTTCAGCGGATAATCATTAAATCGTAAAATTTATTTTAATATAACGTTACGTCTGTAGGTATTACGCAGAACGGATTTTCTGCGAGCGATGAATGAGAACCCTTTCATGCTCCAACAAATTCGTGAAAAAGTAGAAACTCGGATTAAAAGTTCTAAAGCCAAACAGGTGGATGTGATTTTTAACATTAATTTAGCAATTTTATACCTATCTTGTTAACTTTCATATGAGAGACATTTTTTTTAATTAAAATACATATCGATTGCATATAAAATATGCTCTTAGCGTAGCAATGATTAGTACATTTCCGATAATATGTTTTTATGAATACGTTTATTAATTATAAATCAAAGTGCCGGTCGGACTCGTGCACCATAATTTATTTGCAGTTATTTAAATAGGTATATAGTTTTAATGATTTGTTGATATACTTTACACTTTTAAAGTATGTTATTACCGAGTAATGTTATAAACTTTCTAAAATACGTGTTATATAAAATCATTAGCACTGCCCGCGGCTCCGCCCGCGTTCACATGACCTAAAACCAAATTCTTAGGTTTTACATATTTGTATACTCTTACATCGTAGTTTTTGTATTTTTTCTCTTAAATGAGATATTTTCCCGCGGTAAAAAGTATCCTATATGTTGACCCCGATAACCAGCTACCATCATACCAAATTTTATCAAAATCCCTCCAGTGGTTTTTCCGTGATGCGGTAACAGACAGACAGACAGACAACAAAAATTCTAAAAACTATAGATTTGCTCTCTGTATCGATAATAATGTCTATTACAATAAGGTTTTTCTAAAAAATATTTAATGTACAGATTCGGCTTAGTTACAATTTTATTATATGTATATAGATAATATAAACATCCCTTTATACCTCAAATTACTTAAATATACGTTTTCACAGAATAAGTACCTCTAGTGTTGTTAATATAAATAAACTGAAGTACATAAATGTAAATTTATTTACAAATAGAAATATTGTACTTTAACTTCAAAATGTTTAGATATGGTGATTTATAAAGTGAAAATAATAATAAAATAAAAATTTACAGTAAATAAGTACTATAAATGTATGTAAATTTATAGAAAGATATAATAAATTACGACGAAAAAGATTCGAGATTGCTCAGAACTCGCTATAGACCTATGAAATTACTTAAAGATTATTTAGCAGGAGTCGAAGAAGAAGATCCCACGTTTATTGATGACTCCCATATGTACTACAAAGGTGATTGTTGCCCTTTACAACGTCAATAAATATTATACTACGATCTTATGATACATGTTATTGTGTATTGTGTAATGTTATATTACACAAACTTTATTTTGGCTTTGTTATAACGTAATTAAGTTAAAGACTTCTTTAAATATTTAAAATTAGTAAAAAATGTATAGCTTCGCGTAAAATATAAATGCTCTTGAATGAAATTGGTATCTGAGATTTAAGGTCCAGGCCCACTGCTGGGCACTGGCCTCCCTTTAATACGAAAGGCGAAAGGAGAATCAGACCATAGTCCACCACGCTGGCCTATATTTTTATATTATGAATATACTTTTATATGCTATAAATGTATATATGTACATTCAATATATTATAGTAATATATATTTTCTAATACCTACAGTTGCGTCGCGCGCCTTAACTCGCTACGCCACAGACGCATTTAAGTTTTGCTTGAGTTCTTTTGTAACAGTACGATATATTATGTTTTTCAATTAAGGAACTAATTTATAACCGATATTTAAATAAGATATTTTTAAATAAAATCTATTTTTCAAATAAATATCACATAAGTCGTTTTCATTGCAGATAAAGATAACATAAGACAGCGTAAATTTACCACTGAATATTTAGAATTGTACCAAATGTCCACAAATGTGACCACTGTGGAGGAACCTAAAATATGCCTTCGGGCGACATTTCCTTGGATACTTGAACCAAACACCGATTTCGTAAGTACACATGTTATAAATCAAATCAAAATATTCTTTTTTTCAAATAGACTTTTACAAGCACTTTTGAATTTAAACTAAATGTAAGTATGTAAGTCCAAGTCCGTGAGGAATTTACCACTCAGAAGGCAGTTCTGCTGAGAAGAGCCGGCGAGAGAAACTCGACAGTTGCTCTTTTTAAATATAATAATAATTTACAATATATCTATTCAAAATTATTATTCTTATCCTGCGTGAGATCAACCAATAGTAGGTAATCCCACATATTTGCATCAGCAATGTATTGCGAGACGGAATAATATACTTTGCTCAACAATATAAAGCCTTAAAACTCATATATATTGAAAGTATTTCTAAAAAACCTTGAAAACAATTATACGAGTGATAACAAAACGTAAACGGATGATGAATATGATACTTTTAGCACATTTTCCATTTCAGATTTTATTTTATCATATTTAGATACCATTTTAAATAAAACTCTCTTTTCGAATTATTTCGCGAATTTATTTTGATTTTTGGTTTCGACGTTTCGAATACTTTACAGCAACCACGGTTAGCAATTTAAAATATCAAATATTCGCGTAAATTTAAGAAAGTATTTTATTTAAATAACAGTTTTAAAATATAAAAAGTCGATAATTTTCAGCCAAATCCTATGAACAAAATTAGTTTACAACATAATAATTTTTTTACTCACAACCAAAATTGTCTATATTTAGATACATAATGGAGCACTTATGACGTATAAGTCTTTAGATAATGTTGTACATTTTGTAACAGTAATAATTACCTATGTACAAGGGAAGATTCTTCTCACACCACTTAGCTAATTCCTTCAGTGGGAATCAAGAATTTACGTTAGTTTGGATAGCGTTTCTCAAATTATACATATAACTATTTTCTGCCTGCGGCTGTCATAAAATTCACACATGCTAATTTAGCCTACAATATAATAATAAAGTTTTTTTTTAAAGTTATTTTTACAGAGAAAGCCCTTTTAAAAGCTTTCACAAATCACATGCAAGACATTTTATGTCGTTAAACTTATTAAGTTGAGTACGCCTTTCTTGTTCCAAAAATATTTGATTTTTAAATATTATTCTCATATTTTTATTACACTCCAGTTTCACCCGACTTCGCTTGCGTGGTACGCAAAATTTTTTATATATAAATAAATAAAATAAAACATTATTAAAAACTGTTCAGTAGCTCCAAAAACTATTATCAACATACAAACCAACAAGCAATTAATATTTATAATATCACATCACAGATATCATTCGATGACAGATAGTAGGTGACGTGACTCAGTACATATTAAAGCTCTGTTCATACTAAAATGTTATTTAAAATTTAAATCATACTTAATAATTATTAAATTTACTTTTCAGACGAATATGTTCGATATTGCGCATTTTATAATGGTTTTATACGTTTGTATAATGTGTCCTCATCTAGCGACCGACCCCTTCCAGTCGGACTGGGAAAGAGTTGTTAATACAATAGTGACAGCTGGCTTGATACTAAATATTTACATACAAATTACTACAGCGGTCATAGAAAAAGTGAGATTTAAAGATGATATTATGTTAAAATATTATAATTTCTATATTATGCTATAGTTAAATAAGGCAGTATAGCCCAGTGGTAACGCGCTCGCTTGGGAAACCGAGTGAAGCGAGTTCAAATCCCGGGTCTTGCACCTGTAATAATTTTCATGTGCGACTTATTTCCAACATTACTTATATTTACCACTTGTCTTAACGGTGAAGGAAAACATTGTGAGGAAACCTGCATGTCTGAGAGAACCTAGCAAGTTTTCAAAAGACATGTGAAGTCCGCCCGCACTTGGCCAGCGTGGTGGACTATGGGACTATGGCCTGATTCCCCTCGTACTGAAGGGAAGCCCGCGCCCAGCAGTGGGACGTTAAAAAGGGCTGAATACGTACATGCTATATTTAAAAATCTTTATTACATTAGCATGATTTTCTATTCATTTTTAACATGCAAATTATTCTTTGTGTTGGTAACGATATAGTAGCAAATTTAAATTGCAGAATGTCAGAAAAGAAACAGTGCGGGAGATAGCCGAGGAAAAAATGGCTACAGTTGGCTTTTATCTAGATGTTCTCTCGGTTTTTCCTATTTATATATTTAGTAACACATTAGATCCCAGCGACGAATCGATTATTTCACAAATAGCTCTGGTGTGTCCTATTCTACAAGTGTGGCATATTTGGGATTACTTCGATAAATGGCAAAGGAATTTTAATAGCAACGCCAAGGTAAGGTTTTTGTTGGTAAAATAATTAAATATTTCATATTCTTGTATATATATATTTATATATAATATATTTAAACGAGCAATTCTTGTATATATATTTATATATACCTATATAATCTGAATCTCGGAAACGGCTCCAACGATTTGCATGAAATTTAGTATACAAGGGGTTTCGGGGGTGATAAATCGATCTAGATTAGTTTTATGTCTGGGAAAACGCGTCTTTTCGAGTTTTCATGCGGTTTTCAAACGCGGTGGTCAAACGGCCCAAGCGCAAGTTTAACAACCACAGGTGTCCGGGTTCGTAATAATTTGAACTTTAAAGAACATTTTCCTCAAAGAGCTTTTCTTAGGTAACATAAAATCTCACATTCTTATACAAGATCGTCGATGCGAAATACCATAATAACTTGAGTTCTTTTTATTAGCATGGATTATGTCAGGGGCGTTCAACTCAATTTAGATAAATATCATATTTTAGAATAGAAAATTCACATCAATATCATTTTTTTTTCAGTTTTTGAGCGTAGCGAAGTACTGTATATTGTTTCTTATATTTTGCTATTGGTCTGGTTGTCTGTTATATGTTGTGGCTTGTCCAAAGGGCCTTTGTCGAGAGGTAATTAATATTTACTTTTATTCTTTAATGAAGATTTATTATATTTCAATATAAGAATAAATGAATAATATTCATACTTTAAAAATGCCAATTCGTTTTCATAATAAATTAAATATGGGTAATTTGTATTATGGATCTGAAATTGCAATTCTATGATCTCTATATAAATAGATGAGTAATTCATATTATGTTATAATATAATTATATAATTTTAATTGTTTTAATTGTTTTAATGATTGTAATGAAATATAATAATTAAAGTTAATGTCAATAGAATTCTTGGATGGGTTTATTAATTTATTGGGAGACGAAGATTTTCGTAATAACTGACGCGCAACACGAACGTCCTGTAACGTCTTCCTTTTTGTTTGGAACGTCTGTGTTCACTGGCGGCGGTATTTCTAATATATCACCGGGACCTGATGACTTGCTGTTGGTAAAATATTTACTGATTACTATTATACATAGTGCATGTGAAGTCCGCCATCCCGCACTTGGCTAGCGTGGTGGACTATGGCCTGATTCCCCTTGTACTAGGAAACCCATGCCCAGTAGTGGGATGTTAGAAAGGGCTGAATACATACAGTATCATAATGTATTTAATATAAAAAAAGAATACTAGATGATCATCAAAGGTCACATGTTTGATGTCTGGACGAGCTTAGATGTACGGTGAGATCCGTAAATTTTATTGGAAATGTGCAGTACTAGATATCAATGTACCAAATTAATCGTGGAAAATAAATATTTTGTGAATCTGTTTTTCATAATAATATGTAATTTTGGCAAAAAAGAACAATGTCTCAAGTGATAGCTAATAATAAATTTCATAAACATTCTCAATGTCACATAAAATATTTTTTTATATATAGGTTTATGTAAAATTTATAGGTACGTGTAATTTTTTATATCATTGAGCTTTGCACGAAGTTCCGATTGTGAGTTACATCGATAAAAGGTTTTTCCAAGATCTGAGCTAAATTCTTCGAAATTTCAATCAAATTCGTTAAATTGTTACAGCTTGAAAAGGTGATAAGCAATAATAGCTATTACGTAAAAACTGTCGCAATCTAATTAATCTATGTTAGTTATGTTTTGTACCAAAAATTACCAGCGCTAAACTTATTTTAACAAATGCCATTTTATAGTTAGATATTTTTAATACATTTTTTCCATCTATTCAAGGTTGTGGTTCTCTTTATGTTGGGAGCTTATTTAACGTGCTTCTACAACGCCAAGATATGCTCTATTTACGTTTTATCAACACAAAGGAAATTGAAGTTTAAGGTAAAGGTCGCTGCTTCTGTAAAGGTCGATTTTGACCTTGCCATTTAAACAATTTAAGTCTAAAACTAAAAATATATTATTGAATAAAGCATATTACACCGTCATAAAATACTTTGTAGATGTCAATGTTTGGAACTAATGTCTGTTTAGGTCTCAAGTAGGATAAGTAGATAATTATTGTATTACAATATTGTAAACAAATCTAATCTAATATATTTAAACGAGCAATTCTTGTATATATATAATCTGAATCTCGGAAACGGCTCTAACGATTTTCATGAAATTTAGTATACGGGGGGTTTCAGGGCGATAAATCGATCTAGATTAGTCTTAAGTCTGGAAAAACGCGTGTTTTTGAATTTTCATGCGGTTTTCTTTTGCATTATTCCACGCAAAATTTGGTCCATAATTTTACACGCTCAAGGTGCAAGATTGACAATCATAGGTGTCCGGGTTCGAATCCCTGTCGGATAGAAAGGTATAATTTATTTTTGTTTCTTTTTTGTATTTATTCAAGTTTTTAGTGTCTTTTAAAAGAAAATTGTACTTCTGACCAAAACTCCGAGCGAAACTCGGTGGCCCAGGTACCGTTATTTTAAAAGAGCAACTGTTGAACTTCTCGTCGGCTTTTCTCAGCAGAACGAACAGAAATTAACGATTCTAAAGTGCCTGTAAAAGTCTATTTGAATAAAGTATATTTTGATTTGATTTGTATCATGCGTAACTATGTTTATTTATATGTTTAATACACAATGTTTATTTAATATAAATTAAAGGTTATTAAAATTATTAAATTGTTAGCATGGTATAAGACAATAATGTAATAATATCGTTGTTTGTGTCTGTTTACTTTTGTGCTTCACTCTTTTAAAGTAATACGTTCTTAGATTTACGGGAATATTTGACATTTTAAACAAAATTATCTTTTCCAATTTTTCCGTGGTTTATTTTTTTGTTTTTATGATTCCCAACGTTTCGAATGCTTTGAGTCTCTCCTGTGGCCATAATTGCTGTAAAGCAATCGAAATGTCAAGAAACCAAAATCTAAATAAAATTCCGAAAAGATAGTTTTATTCAAAATTCTTTATACTATATAACAGATTTTTTGCTAGTGCATAAAACATACCTTTAGTATTTAAAACACTTTAATTACTTGACGAATACTTTAAAGAGTGCTACTTATTTTATAAAAGGTACAAATATAAATATGTATATAATATATATAATAACATTTAGTTATATTTCTTTATTATACACAATTTTAAATATAATTTTGTTCAAAGACATAACTTTTAATCGTCAACTAATTTTGTAATAGGAATCGATGCGAGAGTTGTTCTACTTCCTCTCAGTAAACCACGTGAGCGGCAAAATCAAAGCTCGAGTGAAAAAGTTCTTTTGCGTTCAATGGTTAGCTTTGCTTTAGTGAACTTCAAGTTTCACACACTCTAGATTTAATATAGCTTATATAAAGACATAATTAAATAGACCTTTCAAATACATAAAATATTTTTTTTTTAATTTCTTCGATATTTTTTTTTTACCGAAATAAGTTAATATGCGTAAAATTTTGTACAAATAGTAATTATATATTTGTACAAATAAATAAACATGGTATTTGGAATGAAATCAAGGCAAAAATAAATTTATTAACATTTTGTTTACACTTATGTAAACATATCCATAACACGAAAATTACAAAGCTGTTAAAATAATTTTAACTGAGTATTTGTTTTAATACTTATAATTATGTATTAACATCGATAGCATTAATGAAATAACAACCGTTAGTTTGGTTTATTTGTGTTTTACATTCATTTATATTCCGATACGAAATGGCAGCCACTATTTATTGAAGAGAAATTCATGGAAATACACTCACTCAAACAAAATATAATAGAAATCAGAAGTTTAAAGTAAGCCAAGAAATATTACAGATCAAATTAACATAATATTTAAATTAATTAGGTACTATAACAGCGCCGTGTTGAATGAAGAAATATTTAAAGACATGTCAAATAATATAGAACAAGAGATTTTGTCATTGGAAATGATTGAAAAACTCCTTTCTTGTCCATTGTTTCAGGTAACATTTAAAAACTTAATCTATACCTACATCTTATTATATATATATATATATATATATATATATAAATCTGTATTTCTCTTGGTCACGCCATCACGCGTGAACGGCTGGACCGACTTAACTATTTTTTTTGTTGTGTTTGTTATTGTCAGGAGAAGGTTGTTATGAAAGAAAAAATTGAAAAATTAACGAAAAAAAATTAAAATGTATATGGCTAACGCTGGCTAATAACTATTTATATCTATTTAAAACGTACCTAGTGACAAACCCGAGCGAAGCGAGGGTGAGCCGCTAGTAGGTATGTATAATAAAAGTGTAACTGATCGTAGTTTATACATACAAGATATTTGAGAAAAAGTGTTATCGGGGGTCTTTATTAGCGTAATAGAGCCCAAAACAATGATTTTTATAATTTTTGTCTGTTTGTGCGTTTATTGCGATAATCTCAGAAAACGCTTAACCGATTTGGGTGTAATTTTCACTAATTTATTGTGGAAAGTTTCACTTAACATTTAGTATTATTTTAATCGGTTCATAAATAAAAATAAACGCTAGTTTACTAAATAAAATTAAGATTTGGATAAATTCGTTACAATAATGTTTGTTACACTAAAATTATTCATTTACTTTCATATAGAATTGCAGTCGTGACTTCTTACAAACTGTGGCGTCTAATTCCAAAACAATAGTACTACCTGACAATGAAATAGTACAACATGCAGGTGATATTGGCAGGGATATGTATATTTTAAAAATGGTAATTATATTATCTATCTATAAATATAATAAAATTCTAACTAACCCAAATCTGTACATTAAATATTTTTTGGAAAATCTTATTGAAATAGACGTTATTATCGATACAGACGCCGAATCTATAGTTTTAAGAATTTTTCTCTGTTTGTCTGTCTGTTACCGCATCACGAGAAAACCTCTGGACAGATTTTGATGAAATATGGTATGATGATAACTGGTTATCCGGGTCAACATACGAGTATAGGATACTTTTTACCGCGGAAAAATATCTCATTTCTGAGAAAAAATACAAAAACTGCAATGTAAGAGTATACTAATATGTAAAAACTAAGAATTTGGTTTTTGGTTATCTGAACGCGGGCGGAGCCGCGGGCAATGCTAGTGTAGTTATAAAAGTATTTAAAGTTGAGGGAGAGTTATTAGTGAAATAGTTAAAATACTGGACTCTGTACCGTCAAACGAAAAATTTACATTACTTTTGTTGTTTAAAAATTTTAAAACTGTGACTTAAAACTTTAATAGAACAATTATTATAATTTTTACACCCATTTAATTATTATCATGATTTTGTCAAACGATCTTCTTCCTATATTTTTTCAGTATCGTGTATTATTTATTGCTTTATACTTTCATAGAAATATTGTAAATGCTTGTTACGAGTACCTTTTCTATCCTAAACTGCTGATCAGATTTTATTGAAAGCATGGGAAATAGATGTCACGATGGGGATAAGTTACCTTCTGACCCCATCCCTCTAACAATGCAAGCGAGCCATGGGCAAAACAACTAAAGCATATAAATAAAACTGAATCTTTAAATTAAATCATGCACTCATAATTATTAATTTTCATATTTTTAGTTAAAAAAATAGCAAAAAATATTTCATCTATGTCTATTTACGAGCAGTGAACTGAAAAGTTAATAATAAATTTATTTACATTTACTTTAAATAAGAAAGTAATTACAGGGTCATTGCAATAAACTTGATAATTTTGGGAAAATTCAATCATCCATTGGACCAGGAAGTAATATTGGTGTCGTTGAAATGTTATATGGGCTACCTAAAGTGAGTGAGTTTGTTATCTTTATATATTTAATTCTTCTGTGAGTGTGTATGTCACTGAACTTCTCTCAAACGACTGGACCGATTTTGATGAAATTTTTTGTGTGTGTTCAAGGGGATCTGGGAATGGTTTAGATTCACAATTTGAATAATAATTTTCATCAAATAAATTATTAAAAAAAGTTTGGAATTTTCAAATTAAAGACGTGACAGGACAACGTCTGTCGGGTCCGCTAGTATATAATATAGTTCATGTTAGGAACCAGAACAATGAAGTGTGATTACACTCGTTACCCGCCAGTAGATTATTTCAAAGTGAGTGGCTGCAATTTTGTTTTTACGTCAAAGCTTCAAATGGCTTTTACTTTGTTCTATTTTAACCAATTTGACCAACACAGGCTATGAACTATGTAGTATTATAATATGTCCGCGTAGTAAAATTGTGCCCCCTTTTTATTTTATTTATATTTTATTAATGTCTAAATATCAATTACATTAATTATATTATATATAAGTGTGTAAATGAGATTAACAAGAAAAATCTTGTTTGGTAAAAAATTATTAGGTATCTACATATTATGTAATTGCAAAACTTTTGTGTGAACTTTGACAATTTTTATTTCATTTCGAATTCTCAATTCTAACGAATTACCTCAGACTAAGGAATAATATATACAGAGTGTCATAGAACTAATTATAGATAATTTTTAAAAATAATATGGGTATAACATATTATATATATGTTATACCTATATATATAAATATACATAAAAATATTTCATTTTTATTTAAATCACAAGCATACTCCCTATCCATACTTTAAATAAAATTGTAACTAAGCCGAATCTGTACATTAAATATTTTTTGGAAAATCTTATTGAAATAAACATTATTATCGATACAGAAGCCGAATCTATAGTTTTCAGATTTTTTGTGTCTGTCTACCTGTCTGTCTGTTACCGCATCACTGAAAAACCACTGGAGGGATTTTGATGAAATTTGGTATGGTGATAGCTGGTTGTCCGAACCCGAAAATCCCTCCAATCCGGAGCTTTGATCCGGAGGTCAACATATAGGATATTTTTTACCGCGGGAAAATATCTCATTTCTTAGAAAAAAATCAAAAACTGCAATGTAAGAGTATACTTATATGTAAAACCTAAGAATTTGGTTTTTGGTCATCTGAACGCGGGCGGAGCCGCGGGCAATGTTAGTTTACTATAAAAGTTAAACGTGATCTGCACGATATTCTCTATCAGTTTGTTCACTAGCTATTTCAAAAGACAGTTCATGTCATGATAAGAGATAATTCAAATTTAACCAACTGTTACGATTATTATCAATTCTGGCCACATTTATAACTTAAAACGTAACATTAATCCCTCAACGACACACCGGCGTTACAGTTAACAATAGATTTCTTAGAAATTTAATTAATTTCTTAGAAATTTATCTGGAGGTGTTAAACAGGCGTGCAATATATTCATATTAGCAGGTTTACAATTATATAACGTCAGATGCAATAAACCCATGCAGGTACACACAGTGCTGACAACGACAAACTGCATATTGCTGCACGTTGAATACAGCGCTCTCGTACAATGTTGGAGCACATTCCCGGACATCAGTCACCCCATTATCAAGGTGTGATTCATGAATTTCGCATTATGCACGTAGAATGCCTTAAATTTAGCTGGAACTCGAGCATTTACCTCGTATCCAGTCGAAAAGTAAATGCTAATTTCATTTATATGCCTATTGTTTCTTTAATACACGTTTGGCTCAGTTTGTAGTGACCCTACTTATTGGACTAGCGGTCGCGGGTTCGAGTCCCGCTGGTGGCATTCATTTGTGTGATGAGCACGAATGTTTGTACTCCAGTCTTGGGTGTTTATATTTATAATATGTATGTATTTAAAGTTATATATATATTAATATTATATTTAGTAATTTTTTACATTTTAGTGCCTGGAAGTCGGTTCTTAATTTTTGTTAAAAAGTTTTTATGTTTAGCCTTGATATCAAATATAAGGTTGTTTTAATTAAAAATTCTCTTAAAAATCATCCTTAGGCAATAAGAGATCCTGATATCCGGCAGCAAGCGTCAAAATTTGAAGATAGCAAACCTCTCATAGGCAGAATAGATGAGAAGACAAATAGAATTGCGGTATTAGTATTTATTTTAAGGCACAAAATTACACACTTCTTACAAGACAACACCTTGCTTTATCGCCTCTACTGGTGACAAGAGAGCTGACTCGTTTTTCGGCCAGAGAAACGGCATTGCCACCCAGCGGGGCAATGTGTCTAGCATTCTTGCCACAATTCTACGTGAACATGACTTGTACAGTAATAATTAAATGTATTTACATGTGTATGTACATTTGTTTTGTATATATAAATAAATATATTTTTGAGGCACTGGAATATGATTTAGTTACGTGCAGCTAAAACTAATTTTATTTTAGCAAGAAATAAAGGAGAGTTTCGTTATAGTGAGTGGAAGAAGAGAGAGAGCACACTTTGTACAGGTTTTCAATAAGTTGGGTGTTATGAGGTTTGTTATTTTAATTATATTTATTTATTTATTTTAGAAAAATCATAAATCATTTATTTAAAAAAAATCGTATTATAATTTTTGTTCTGTCTGTCTGTCTGTTAACGCATCACAGGTAAACTACTGAAGGGATTATGATTAAATTCGGTATGGTGATAGCTGGTTATCCCGGTCAATATATAGGATACTTATATATATACACTAATATATATACTAAAATGTCTCATTTCTGAGAAAAAATACAAAAACTACAATGTAAGAGTGTTATAATATGTAAAACCTAAGAATTTGGTATTTGGTCTTCTGAACGCGGGTGGAGCCGCGGCAATGCTAGTATTTTACATAATTAAATGAAATCTTGTAGGTTTATAAGATACTTTTTCCTGCCTGGCTGCATAACGCCACATGGACTATTTCTGAAATTCTGGTGCATTGTAAGATTTATAATAGCAATATATTACGTGTTAATCGTGCCTTATAATATTGCAGTAAGTTATAACTTAATAACAATTTTAACATAACATTAATAAATTAACCAAAATTTCATTATTAACGTTTACCCGGCTACGTCCGACAGAAAATGAAGAAGATTTTAGAGATTACGTTCCGTTTTTACAGATTTTATATTTTGTACGATATTAAAAAGTAAATAATTTAATTAAGTTTGAATAAGAAAATTATTAATTGTACAAAAGCTTGTAATATATCAAAATTATTATAAGTTTCATCACCTGTCTAGCGAAGACACTTGCTTTTCCGAAAAGTATAAACATTTAACATTTTATAAACTAAATATTAAAATATATATATATTAAAATATAACTTATAGTCTATACTAATAATATAAAGAGATAAAGTTTGTGAGTTTGTGACGTTGTAAGGATAATCTCTGGATCTCCTGAACCGAATTAGATGAAATTTGGTAAGAAGATAGTTTGAAACCCTAGGAAGGATACTTTTTATCCCGGAAATCAACCCTTAAAGGGTTGAAAATGGGGATGAAAATTTGTATGACGAACCCGAGCGAAGCGAGGGTGAGTCGCTAGTATATTATAAAGTTATCAAATTTACTATATATTCGTAAATACTTTTATATTATTTTAGAATAAAAAATCTTTTATATACATGTTCAACATAAAAAGAGATTTTTCACACGAATTCTACCCTCTTTACCAAAATAAAGTAATTTTTATTACTCTCTGTGTAATTTCTATCTTAAACCTCTAAGTTCCATTAAACCAATTCAGATATTAGATAATATATAGGAAGAAAGATAATAAATATACAACACTTGGTAAGGCAAAAGGCTTTTTATTTTATAAAAATAACCTTATCATGAGGTATTCTAAAACCACATATAAAGACTTAAGTTACTATAAGGAGGTATTTTATATTATTTATAGATTACTATTGCCTTTATTAATTTGCTTCACTAGAATGTATGTATTCAGCCTTTTTTAACGTCCCACTGCTGGGCATAGGCCTCCCTTCAATACGAGGGGGATCAGGCTATAGTCCGCCACGCTGGCCAAGTGCGGGCGGACTTCACATGTCTTTCGAAAACTTGCTAGGTTCTCTCAGACATGCAGGTTTCCTCACGATGTTTTCCTTCACTGTAGAATCCCATTTCACTAGAACACTCATTCAATATTATTTTTAAGACTAAGCAAAGTAAACATGGAGGTGGCTATAATTGGACAGATATAGTATTATACGTGGATATCATATTAATGGCATACGTAGCATACTACGATGAAAGATCGCTACTGATAACCCATCCTTTATTTACAATGACAAAATATCTAAAACACGCATTTTTATTGGATTTTATTAGTGTTTTTCCTATTGAAGAATTGGTAAGATTGTTTTGATTTTATATTACGTATGTAATTGTATATTTTTTCAATGAAATAATTTCTTTAAATTAATTATAATTTATTTTATGTTATTTTTCAGTTCAGAATAATAAATGAGCATGCCGACATAGATCTTTATAGGATAAATCGAATATTATTGGTAAGTAATATTTATGTATATATTATATTTCTTTAGTTATGAGGTTTTTTCAGGAATAGAATATTGTTTACTATAATTTGTATGAATCAGACTAAACAAATATATAATAAATACACATTTTTACGCTGTACGAAAATGAAACCCACGACCTTCGGAAAAGAGGCCAGTGCCAGTTAGACATATGCTCAATTCCGTATTAAAAAGCATTTCATTTTAAAATTTAATATTTTTACTATTTGCAAGGTATTTCGAATAACTGGAACGTTTTCGTATTGGGAAAGCGATATAATGCAAGTGAATCAAGCAGTCATTTTACTAAAGTTCCTTCCTATTGCTTTGACGATGGTTAACTTTGCGACTGCTTTCATTTTTATGAACTCCTGCAAACCGTTCACTGTGCCTGCTTCAAATAATATTATGGTCAATTGCACACGGATTTTGGTATCTTCTGAACACAAAAATAAATTTACACGTAAGTTTTTTTAATTAATCCTTATCAATAGCTATATCAATATCTTAGTGACAGATTGTAGTATCTAGGATAAATACATACGTATAATATAGATTTTTTATATTTATTATAAATATAAATATGTTGGGACATTAACACACAGTACCATATAGCTCCATGGTAAGCACAAAGCTTGTGCTTTGGATACCAGATGGTTGATACACTACAATATATATTTTTAAATACATACACATTATAAATATAAACATCCATGACTGGAGTACAAACATTCGTACTCATCACACAAATGAATGCACCCAGCGGGACTCGAACCCGCGACCGCTGGCATAGCAAGTAGGGTCACTACAAACCGAGCCAAACGTGTCGTCATTTATTATACTTTGTATTTTTTAGCTGCAGTAGCTGAGTATATTCAGGTATTCTACTGGGTATTTGAAATATTTGTTGGTAAGTAACCTTAGTATTTATAGTCTAAAAATAAGATATTAAATAATTTGAAATTTTCGAATTTGCAATATCAGAGTTTTTAGATAACTTAACTATCGCATTGTTATAAGAAACATTAAAACCGTATTACTTTTTAGGGTGCGGGTGTACTGCAGCAACCGTTACCAATACATCGAATCATTGGTTGAGTATGGTGTTGCAAATATCAGGATTTCTGTACTTCGCACATATGTTCGGTTACATCGCCTCTACAGGATCCGCAGCATCTCATGCTTTATTGGCTCATAATGTAAGTTACATATAGTTTGTGAATGATTTTTATACAAAAACTAAATAATATATGGTAGTAAATATAATCGATTGAAAGTACTACTACAAGAAACAGTCATTTCACCGTAATATATGTACATATGTCTCACTAGAGCGACGGTGATAACGGGTTCGATTACCGCGTGAGTACTTGTATTTTAAATTTTTTGTATTTAATATTTATACTTGGTTGTCATATCAACATGAGTGTGCCCTTTAAAAATTAATATTACCGCCATGAACCATATCTAACAATTTATCAAAATCAAAATGCTCTGTTATCTACACTTAATGTTATATGTAATGTAAATTACACTAAGTTTTTATTCATATCTTTTACCTTGTGAACAAACATGCTATAAATAATATATGATAACATATCTAGATATTAAATATTAAAATGGTATTTCTAGTATGTTAGTTGATAGCAGTAAGCGGACCTATTAATATTTCATCATAATAAAAAGCTTTTACATACTCGACTTCATCCTGTAACGGATATTAAGAATATCGAAAAAAGATAATGAAAGGAGGAATGACCGAGCAGAAAATTAAAGTTCCTTGTGATTTGTTTTTACGAATAATACTCTAGATTAATATCAATATCAGATATAATAATATAAGAATCATATTAATTATTGTAGCCTAAGCAACTTTAAAAAAAATGTCGCCTAATATCTGTATGTATATTTATGTATACAGAGGTAAGGTAATAACTATAAAATGAACTTAGTCTCTCCCGTGACCATGATTGCTGTAAAGCGTCCGAAATGTCGGGAACCAAAAAATAAAATTAATCCGTAAAAAAATGAATTTTTATTTGCATTGTACCATAGTCCAAACTACACTTTTTTGTCTGTTTGTACTAAATAATCAAAATGATTCAGGTGTTAATGATATAGAGATAGGTAATAAAAGATTTGTTGAGATTTTGCTGTGAGGAATACTAAGAGCTGAAGCAAGGTCGGATAGCTAGTCGAGTAATAAATAAAATCTTTTATTGCACCAAAATGTTATGATTAACATAACTTAGGTGAATGTATCCAAAGAGTAAATGCTGTAAAAAATTATAGCTCATTTTATCGTATATAAGAACATTTTATTTCACTGATACTAGAAAAGTGAACTTCGCTATATATGTATGTTGTACTAGCGACTCACCCTCGCTTCGCTCGGGTTCGTCCCTAGCTTGATTACCAATACAAACTTTCATCCCCCTTTTCACCCTCTTAAGGGATGATTTCCGGAATAAAAAGTATCCTATGTCCTTTGCAGGGTTTCAAACTATCTTCTTACCAAGTTTCATCTAGATCGGTTCAATAAATCCAGAGATTACCCCCGACAACGTCACAAACTCACAATCTCACAAAGTTTACCTCTTTATAATATTAGTATAGATAATGTACTAGCGACGTGCTTGCTTTGCTCGAGTGCGTCTCTCGTTACGTTACGGTTCAAATAGATATGAATAGTTGTTAACCAGCGTTTAAGCCATGTAATTATTTATCGTGAAATTTTCTGATGTTTTAATAGTTATTCTGCTATTTGGGGCGGAGGCAAATCCAACAAATCCAAGATCATAAAAATCGGCCCAGCCGTTCTTGAGTTATAAATAGTGTAACCAACCCGACTTCGTTTTATATGTATAAAAGATATGGCGAAACTTTCATTATTAGCTTACAAATATAAGATACTTTTAATAAAACTTGGTTTGTGGACAGGAAAAACTACAGGATTTGTCAGATTTTTTGTATCGAGAAAATGTGGATCCGATGTTGACTATAAAAACTTTGAAACATTTCGAATACGTCTGGAAAAGAACTCACGGCAGCGATCCACAGGTGCGTGAATTTTCCACAACGTAACTTTTGATTCTGTTAATTAGTATTATTTCTGCTATGATGAATTATGAAAGCTAAGTTATATCTAAATTCAGTATAAACAAACTTGAGGTATATGAGAGACGAAAATATAAATATTAATATAACGAATGTTAGATCTATTACATTTTCACTGTTATTATAACAGAATGAGGTTATTTGCGTAATATTTATTATAATTGTAGAAAATTTGTCGAGGTCTAAACTCTGCGTTAATGGAAGACACGCTTGTTTTCATGTACGAGAGGGCGCTTCGCGAAGTGCCGCTATTCGGCAAAGTAGAACGCTCTTTCATAAGGGTCATTACACAACATCTTCACGAGATGTATTTTCTTAAAGGCGACACTGTTGTGCAATGTAAAGACATACAGACAAACGTTTGTATTATTTATAGAGGAAAGGTATAATTATTACATGCATTTAGTAGATATATTATGTTATTTTGTAACGAAATTGTAAGTTTTTTATGTAAATTTTAGGTTGATGTTTTGAGTTCATACAATGAAATGATTACGTGTATGGGCCCTGGTGGGATGTTTGGTAATTTTTCAGGAGTAAGTGTTTTATTATTCAAATTAAAATATATATTTTAAATACAGATCAATTTTAATTTGTGTATTTTATTATACTACATGTATACGTTTAATTAACCTATTCAAAATACTTTTTAGCAATCTATTTCTAGCTCTGAAGTCGCAATTTATGCGAGCAGAAATTTAGACTTACTGGTGTTACCTTCCCAAACTTTCTTTAATTTAGTCAAATACTATCCTAAGATACAAGAGCCATTGAACAAGGCGTTTAAAGTATCAAAAGATTACATCCTCCCCATTTCTATGGATAACATCGAAGACGACTCCTCAGGTGAAATATTGGAATACAAGTTCCCGTTTTCTTTTCTAATCTTATTAAAAGTTTGTTCTCGCGAGAAGAAAATGCACAATGCTATTTCAATTTATAACTTTAATGTTGTTTTTGATATATCAGTTATAGTTTCCAAGTTCTACTCAAAAATCTTTGCACCGACTTCAAAAAGGATGACCTAAAATATATAATATAATGTAATGTTTGTTTTCACAGATTCTGATTTAGACTTACTATCGCAAGATTCTGCATTTGATTCCAGAAGTGGTTCTACTAGATATGACATGGCGGGTTAATGTTTTGTGCATAAATCCTTAATTCAGTTTGACATTAATCTACTAGCCCATTACGTTAATAGGCTACTCGCTACTTCTCTGTTTAGACCCTAACTACATCCTAAGCGTCTTATATTATTGTTTTGTATTATTTTATATAGTGTGATATATTTGATTAAAAGAAACTTTAGTTACTCTAAGCTTCATAAGAAATTACGTATATATACTTCATCCATAGCAACCATAACCATCAGATTACAAACCAACAATCACATTTTAAGTAAACAAGGATTTTTTTTAGTTCCTTTGAGGCTTACTTTATTTATAGAACACCTTAAGTTTTTTTAATTCATAAATATATTTAAATTTTCCATTCTTCATATTGTTTGTGTGGCAATAAAAATAATTTATATCGTAGGTGGTCAGTACACTTTGTCGACTGCATCAAGGAGTAACATAAGCCAAGTGAAATCTTTAGCCAGTGTTATGACTTACCAGAGCTATTTGGACGTAAATAATCTTTTGAAACCCGGTTCAACACTATATCAGGTACTCGTTGAAAACTTTAAAATAACATATAAAATATAACATTTTTACTGTTAATGAAATTATACTTGTATCATGTGTACTTTTCAATAATTTCTGAATTGCGTTTAATATTTAACTTAACTTATACGTAGCACTATTTTACTGTTCTTCCTTAGATTTACGCAAATATTTGATATTTTAAATAAAACCATCTATTGAGACATGGTTGCTCTAACGTATTAATTGCTGTAAATCATTCGGAACTTTGGGAACCAAAAATCAAAATATATCCGCAAAAATACCCGAAAATTATAGTTTAATTTATCTTTTTTTTAATATATGTACGAATATATAATTATAATAGAGCGGTAATACTAAAAAAGTATCTTACTTTCTTCTTTCAAGGGTTACGGATACATTTCTTGTATCATGACAGTAGCTAACTACGTCCTGACCTTGTATGAAATAGTAACTTTGAACAATTGCTACATAATTTTCTGGTTGCAGTCCATATTTGACATATTCTTTTATGTCTATATCTATTTATCAATGCATCAGGTAAGTGTTGTTTATATTTTAACATTTTATAAACATACACATATATACATATAAAATTTTACGACACTATGTCTGTTTGCCCATTTATCTACTTAATATATAATACGAAAACTAATATTTTTCAACCGACTTCAAAAAGGAGGAGGTTCTCAATTCGACTGTATGTTTTTTTTTTTTTTTTTTTTTTTTTTTATGTTTGTTACCTCAGAACTCCGTCATTTATTAACCGATTTGGACAATTTTTGTGTCGTTTGAAAGGGTATACTTCCAGATTGGTCCCATTTAAATTTCAAAAAAAAATACCACCCCTAAGGGTGGAAAAACAACGAATGATGAATTTAACCTAATTCTAATTGTCATATTGACTTGAAACTTTGCAAGTATTTCTATTTCCGTTGATAGTACAGTAGTTCGGTGTTGTTGACCTGATCTGATGGCAAGGCCAGAAGGTGGATGGTGGAACTCTTCAACGGCTAATAGTAGATACTTTGAGTTTGGGCTTATTTTGTTTGATTTGACAAGCCTAACACGTTAGAATCCTTACTTTTCTACTACTGTCTACACTAAAAAGGGAAAAATAAAAACTTTTTAACAAAAAAATAAAAACCGACTTCAAACAAAAGCACTAAAAAGTAATAAATAACTGATTGGTAGTTTTCATTTACTATACATACCTAATCAAATATTTTCGAAGTCGGTGTGCTTTGGCTAAGTAATTAAAGCCTACCTATTAAATACATACCTAATCCAATATTTTCGAAATCGGTGCCAGCCCATACAAAGCAAAGCACACCGACTTCGAAAATATTTGATTAGGTATGTATAGTAAATGAAAACTACCAATCAGTTATTTATTACTTTTTAGTGCTTTTGTTTGAAGTCGGTTTTTATTTTTTTGTTAAAAAGTTTTTATTGTATGGAAATACGTCATATGGTCAAGTATCAGTATCCAATTGTGTATGATAGATGGCATTGGGAGCAGAAACAATATAAGTTAATAAGCAATATATTAAGATGGCCAGTTTCGTTTTTGGCTCGCTTGTACGTCTGCAAGTATGGAGGTCCTGGGTTCAAGTTCCGAGGCGAGTTCGAAGAGCGATTGCGTTTATCTTATTTTACATAGCGAGATAGTGCTAATAAAAATTTATATTAGCAGCCCAGATTTGGAAAATTAGTGGTGCTACCAAGTAGTTTGATTTCGTCTCAAAGGACAATGGAATAGACAGTACACTTTGCATTATGCGTATGCTATCCTAAAAGCTCAAATATTATTAAAATATAATTTAAATGTAGTTTAAATGTCTAAATATAGTTTAAATGTCTAGATTCAACTACAGGTTATTAGGTCCTAGGTTCAATCCCAGTTCAAGTTAAAACAGACAGAAATACTATTATAATAGCGAAAGTTTGTATCTATGTCTTAGTGTATATGTTGTTACTTATTCATTCTGAAAAAGAGAACAACTAACACTAAAACGTGAAAGACCACATAGGCTATAGTTAGCCACTGCTTATGCATGTAGGTATGTCCCTACATCCCCAAGAGAGCTGAGAGTAAAAGCTAATGCATTATAAATTCTATCCAGAATCTTAGCTTCACATGTAGAGTTACTCATTAATAAACCACATATGTAGATACTCCGTTTTGAGTTTGGATGGATCTTTGTTACACCATCACGCCAGAACGGCTGAACGGATCTGGATGCAATTTGGCACAGAGATAGATTATAGTCTGGAATAGCACATAAGTTACTTTTATCCCAGAAAATGTATAGTTCCCGTGGGATAGATTTGTTTTTTTTTTTCAGTAGGAAGGAATCCGAACGAAGCGAGTGAAAGTCGCTAGTGTTCATAGATTTTGTATAATATTTATGAAATTTAATTTTCCTTTTATCTGTGCTGATATAAATTTCGTGCAATACATATAACTTTTATTTTACGCAGGGATTTGTGAATCGACATGGCAATCTCATATTAGAAGCTACGAAATGTCGCGCCAGATATTACCGGCACAGGTTATGGGTTTGGTCGGATTTATTAACGAATTTCCCGTTTGAATTATTTGGCTTTTGCTTTTCGTGAGTATATAAAAGCTTAAAGGTTTAATTCTTTTTACTTTATCACACTTCCTTTGATGTTATCTGGGTAGGTTAAAAGTCTATATTTGCAAGTCATATCATATTCCAAGACTGATTATTTAAAATTTATATGAATTTATATTTGCCATCCTCTAATCTAGCTCATTGATTAAAAAAATAATTATAAAAATCAGTTCACAATTGGCAACGATGTCGCGTAATATATAAAAAAAAATTAAATGAATTGTGTACCTGTTTCTTGAGGTCAGTCAAGATGTACCAACTAGCACTAAATCCCGAATCATTATTATCTAACATTTCTGTTAAGGAGGATAATTTCTAGAATTGCTAAACCAATATAATACACGATATTTTCTAGGGATAGGTAAAAATATTACCTTCGTGTTGAATAGTAAAACAACGACATAGGCTGTAATGAGTTTAAAATATATATATATATATATAATTTAAAAAAGCTTAAAGCTTTAATATGTACGACGAACGATTTAATTCATTAATTATAATTGTATACAAATACTTATGTATAGTTCTTTCAGTCGTCCGTTGCTCGCTATGCACTATTTACGAGCCAATAAATTGTTTAGACTCAAATATTTAGTAATATTCTATCGCAAAACTTCTGCTGAGCTCACCAATAATTTAACGACATTGCAGGTAATATACATGAATATTCATTTTTAGAAAGTTTACTTATTTACTTATATTTACTTACTTACTTATTTACTTACTTACTTAAGTTTACTTATTTACTTATATATTTACTTATATATATATATATATATATATATATTATATATATATATATATATATATATATATATATATATATATAATTTTTAAATACTGCAAAAATATAATGTTTAGTACTAATGTTATAAATGTAAAAGTGAATTTTGTTATTCCGTTTTTACGCTGCTATGTATTCAGCAACAGAAAATGATAGAAGTAGCTTTTAAAAACATAATTTACAGCCCAGAAGGTGGTATTGGCTTTGAGCCCAGTACATCAATTAACCGATCGATATCAATATGATATTAAAAGTTTTTAAATTAAAATAAGATGGTTCTAAAACAAGATTTTATAGAAAACAGATGTACAATGTACATCCTTTCACTTCCCTAATAGAAAAATACCAGAATTTATACTTATTAAAAAAAATTACCACATTTAAAAAAAATCTTATTAAAAAAATCGTAATATTACGCAAGCAGATGCTCTAAATGTTTGTGCGGGAACAGTGGTAAGCCAAATTAACCTTGTGGTTTCTCTTAGCTATGTCGTATATCTATGTGCTTGTTATCTGGTAAATACTATGTATTACACCATATTACATATGCATGAATACATGAGTGCTTAAATGTGTTTATTTTGTACTGTTATTATTATTACTAGAAGGCTAGATATACTAGCCGAGATATACTAGTGCTCTATAGTCCCCAACGGATTTTTTATATCTATACTGATATTAACTTGGATTTTTTTTATTTGTTTGTTTGTTTGTACCAAATAAACTCCGAAACTACTGGACCGATTAGATCGGTAAAAAGATAGTTTGAGACCCTGAGAAGGACACGATGAGAGTCTTTGAATTTGCGCAACTTTCAATAGCTTTTTATGCTTAATAAGCGAAATAATAAAATTCCAAAAATCTCCTTACTACCTTACTTGTATCAAAAATGGCTTAACCCTTCATAGACCAAGTGCATTGATTTCGTTACGATGTTTAAACGTTTTAAACAGCTAAAGCAGCATTTAGAAGTACTTAATAAACCAAATTCACGTTTACATTTATAATATTAGCTGAACATGATGTTTAATAATTTCAACTATTTA